CCTTGCCGTCCAGCTCACGTGTGTTGCATTAGTTAGGATATTAGTTAGCTTAATTAGATATTTTAGATGTAACTGATTTTCCCACTTCTTTACTTCTCCCGCCTATTTTCATTTTTCCCATTGTATATATTTGATCAAGCTGATTCATTCCATGAATAAGATGAGTAATATTTTTTCTCAATTGATTTCTTTCCTGTAATACTTCTCATCTTTGATCTCCAGAATCATCTGTATCTCTATTAACTAGGTCTCTTTGGATGCGTTTTAGAAAGTCCATTCTCTGATGGATTCTACATCCATTAACCAAGGCACCCCTAATGCTAGCATCTGCAGGAAATGACATTGAATTTACAAGTTCATACGCTCCATTTAGATCACCAACTTGACTCGACATATCGTCCGAGCGAGCATAATGCTCGGAATTGGGCTAAACTTCGAAATCCTTGATCATCGATTTGAAGTTTAACTTCTCTTCAACATATCCAGCATGACTGCAAGTTCTGTCGTGCTATCGAAAACTCTTCGAGCCATCTGAAGGTCACCACGTCTAGCATACATGTCGGATAGAGCTGTATCCGTTTACATATCTTGTGTTACACCAGAAGTAATCAACTTACTAGGAACCATTTTCCTTTCTCTATGTATCCTAGATTTGAGCAAGCTTAAATTGCACTCAGAAAGGCTACTTCGTCGACTTCAAGACAATTGACAAACATTTCGTTGAAAAGACAGATAGCATCTTCTAAGTAGCCATTTTGAGAGAATCCACACACATTATAAAATTCATGCTATAACACTCTCGTTGGGCAATACGGAAAACCCCGATAGGCTGAATCCACATATTCGCATTTAGAGTACATGTCAATTAGAGCATTCTGCACGAACTCCATCAATGGACAACAGCCATGTACTTGACATCCAATTTTAGAAAATCCAGTATCTCCACAGGCCAATAGAACACTTGCCAAGGCAAATGAATCGGGCAACATCCCTCGAATAAACATTTGAACAAAAAGTGTGAAAGCCTCATTGGCCATTTGTTCCCGAACATAACCCTGGAACAAGTAATTTCAAACATACTAATATTGGTATCCATACATTACACTTGCATCTGAATAAATGTCACTGCCCCTTCTTGAAAGCATCCGTTTTTATTATAGCATGCAATCATCACTCTCTATAAAGACACTCAGGCAAAGACCGTTGTAGAACAGCGACTCTGCAGTACGCAAATCACCAAATTGTCCATACATTGCCACAAGAGAACTCACCAATGCCCCATAATCATTTTCAACATTCCTTCTAACAACATAACCATGAACTGACTTTCTATCTCTCGATAATCTCAACTCACCGCAGGCCTCAGATATACTAAACATAGTTACCGAATCAATTTTCATACCTTCCCTCGCCATTTCCATGAAAATTTCCAACCCTTCAGTAGCCTGACCATTCTGAACATGAACAGATATTATTGAACTCCAAGAAATCATCTCTCTCACTGACAATCCATCAAATATTTTCCTAGCATTATACAAACACCCAATTCATCATACTCAGCAATGAAGTCTCAACAAAGGGATCAGACTCAATCCCAGATTTTATAATCCTACTATGGACCTTTTTCCACATTCCAATACCATTAATTGCAGAGCAGGGCTTCAGAATTGATGGCAAAATGAAGCTACTAAATTGGGCCATATTATACATCATCTTTTCTTACATAAAAATGGCTTCTTGAAAGAGGTCATTCCACACAGCATTTGTTCAAAACACCCCACATGAAGGAACCTGATTTAGAAAATTGTCAAAAATTAGTTTTGAGGATTGATGAAACCCATTTGAGCATAGGATACAATGAACTTGGTTGATACAAGGGGGTTCCATTGCAGGCTGGTCACTCTGAAGTGTGCTTGGAGTTGAATGAGCTTTCTTGAGGTTCCGCAGGATCTGAATGGTGGCATGTAAAGTTTCATTTTTGGCTTGATTACATCAAGAATTCAAAATTTAGTAGGAGGTCCTACAAGAAACTGGAATCTAGGGTAGAAGAATTTCCAAGCTAGAAAAGGAGTGGTTTCTTGAGGCTTGAGTTCCAGGGAAAGCAGATGTTATGCAAAATATGCATCAATTTGGGTTATGTAGAAGTGTGCGTTGTGAGCAGGAGGAAGTATTGGCGAAAATGTGAACTCAGACAAAATAAAGAAAATCATTTAGGCGTGGGCTGGAGTGGAGAATTAGGCATGTGACCAACCATTGGTATATTTTGAGTCGAAAAAAATTATAATATTTACAAGTATTTATAAGCACACCAAACCGATTTCTACTTTGACTACACTCCTAAATTGAGTTATTAGAGATCTCAAAATGATCACGAATTCATATAAATTTGACATGAAGAATGCCTTTCAACAACACAAGGGAAGGGGGGGGGATCCAACGGAATTTCTATTCAGCTTCATAAACAATACCCTAAACCACTTTTTATTTCTTTTGGAAAAAATAAAAATAAAAAATTGTAATCCAAAATGAAAGTCAAACCATCTGCAGGAGAAAAACAGGGCTCGATGTGTGCTCATCTAGCATGTTGATATGTTTGGCCTACACAATATTCAGGAACGGAATCACGTGAGATATTTTTTATTATCTTGTCCAATAGTGCTTACTGAACATGACTTCAAAGTTTCAACAAATTTTAAAAATACACCCATGCGCTTCTCTAATCTGTGAAATGAAACTAACCCAAGATTGCTTTCTACAAAGTTGTACTTATTTTACACAGCCAAGATATGCACAAAACAGAAGCAGCTTCCTACTATAACGTTACACGGAGGAGTCCAATCGAATTTCATCTTGAAAAACTGTAGCACTACAAATAGTTATTCATATAATCAGATCTGTATGATGTAACTTAAAACTTCTTTAATGAAATATGAAACTTTTTACCGCAAAAGAAATAGTGCCCTGAAATTTCTTAACCAGAGAAATGTATTTGGTCGATTTTCTCTAGCTTGTCCAGACAGGAGATGAGGCGTCAAAGGTTCACGCATCTTTTCCATCTTCCTCATTTTGTGGGTCGTGTGGCAGTTCATGGCGAGGCTGATTGTATTTCTCACGCAGCTGTTTAATCGGGATAAGATCTCCAGCTGCGTCAGCTCCATAAAACAAGAAAGAAACATAAGGGTGATCAAATCTATCCTGCACATTTGATGACAATCTCAAACAATTAGATGCAGAATAACCCGGATAGGCTTTTCGTTTAATGATTGATTCAACCAACCATGTCTTGTTGATTGGGTGTCAGTAAATTCTCCTCGGGAACTGCAGGATAATACCGATTGGGAATCAAATCAGGGGCACAGAGCAGAGGAACACCACAGAATGCAAGAATCAAACACAACTAAAATGCAGGCACAATGTATTTTGTAGATGGGTGCTAGAGAATGGTCCCAAGTCTTTTAAAAGGAAAATACTTAAACAATCAACAAGGACAATAATGAAAAAGCGGTACAAGTAACAAGAATTACAACTGAAGAACGCAATGGAATCAGGTACAAAAAGATACTTGGGCTTACCATATGCTACTAACAGGTTGGGGTCTTCGTGTACATTGACCAATACCTGCAAGACAATAGGTTAAATTAACTATAGTGGGTTCCCCCCATTTTGTTACCAAGTAATGCTAATTCTACTTGTTATTACACAATAAAGGTTCATAGCAAAGAAAATATGGTACTTTTCATTTAAATGCAGCACACATCTAACAGGAGCTACGTAGGAATGGAACCAGTTTAACTTGGCTGGGCATTATCAATGAGAAAAATGTACAAAATACATCTTAGGATGTATGGTGGTGAACTGCAGCATCAGGACTGACTGNAGAAAAATGTACAAAACACATCTTATGATGGATGGTGGTGAACTGCAGCATCAGGACTGACTGATACTAGGTAACCTCGAAGCTAGAAAATTTATTTAAGAAAAACTAAAAAAAAAAAAAAAAATTGGAAGCAAAATTTATTTAAAAGTAAGGGTTAATTATGTTAAAGGTCACCGAAGTTTTGAATAGTTATGCCAATTGTCATTTGTCCCTGAAATTATTTTTATTGTAATAATCACTCATGTTTCTAACCTCTGATGCTAGAACTCTTCGAAATAGTTGGAGTACCCGTGTCGGATACAACACGACATGGGTATGGGTATGAGATATGTATTGGATCCTCCAAGTTTCAACCGGACAATTCGTCGTTTTGCTTCTTTTTTTTTTCTTTTCTTTCCCACTTTTGCTCTCTATAAACCTAGCGTGGTCATCAAGGGGGTGGAGAATGATGACGATACTAGGTTATCCCTTCTTTTTCTTCTTCTTTTTTCTTTCTTTGCAGTTTCTTCTTTTTTTCTTATTTCTCTCTCTA